AGATAAGGTTTGATTGGTCGGAGAATGATTGACCATTTTTCAATAAAAAAATATTGCAATTGACAACTTATTAGACTTAAAAAAAAAAAATTTAAATATATTTTTATAGGAAATTAAAATTATATTTGATACATAAGATTATGATAAAATAAGATATAATGATATTATGCATAAGATTAGATTAAATAATATCATTTTATTTTATTTTTGATGTATGCAAAAATTAGAATAGAATAATTTATTTATTTATCAAAATTATCTTTTCTTAAAGTTTGTATAATTTAAATTATTGATATAATTTTTAAAGGTATAATTGGATGTTTAAGTTTAATCTTATGAATTAAAAATAATTGGATATTTAAATTTAATCTTATGAATTAAAAATAATTATCTTCATTTTAAAAAATTTGAATCGTTTTCTTTCGATACAAATCAAACATAATATAAAATAATTAGTATTCTTTATCCTATGAATAATCTTATGCATCAAACAAGATTTAAAAGTGACTTAGTCATAGATGGGCATGCCAAATTTAATTTCATTTGCACCTTTTTTAACACATATAATGTATGTTTTGAAACTGACCAAAATGAAGAGTTTGGAGAGATGCTTTAATGCAGCCCTCACATCCAATTCATGGCAAAGATCTCGAAGCCTCTTCTCACGTGAATTCTTTTCCTTCATACAAGAAATGTAGAATATGTGAAATTTTTTCCCAAATCAAATTGATTATTGGACTAATTTTATATTCTCTGCGAAAGATTAAGTCATATGCACACAAATCAAAATCATTGCTATCCCTTAAATTCAATTATTCAAACAAAGTTTTCATAACAAGGTTTGATAAATTTAAATTTTAAAATTTCTTTATAATCAAATAATTAAAAAAATAACATATTTCATACATTTATAAAAAAAATAATAAAAAATTAATTAAATAAATCAAAATAAAATTAAACTAAATTCCAATGCAAAAAAAAAAAAAAAAACTTAAATTTGAAAGTTAAAATTTAAAAGGCTTATTCTTTACTATTTATCTTCTTTAAAAATGACTGACTATTTTTCCGTATAAGATATTGTAATTTACGTCTAATTAGTTTTCCTTAGGTTCATTCAGAAAAGAAAAAGTTTTAACCAATGTCCTTATAGGAAAGTGATTTAGTTAATTAGTCGGGATGTGCACCTCAAATTGGACCACAACAGAAAAGCCGACCCCACGTTATTAATTTTTTAAGCTAATTATTTATTAGTGATGCCAAACACTGGTTAATGAAAGTATAAGGCTTCTTCCACGCAACAGAAAACCTATCCCACAAAATTAAGTTTTTTTAGTCATTATTGGCCAATTTATCGGTGAAAGTATAATGCATGATGTGCAACTTCCTCTCGACTGCCTCTGCAAAAAGGTAGATGCCAAAAGCCACCCCGGCCCCAAAGGCATCTTTTGCTCAGAAAATACATGCATGATTGTTACAAGAAACTAATTTAATATAGTTATTATTTGATCCTAAAAAAAATAAATACCATAATCTTATCATTACGTGTAAATTGTCTAATGTGTTTCTCTCTGTAGGTTGTGGTCTAATTACCAGTTAAATTGGTCGGCCAAAGGAATATTTTTAATGGAGTAAACAACCTTTTGTTTAAGAATCTTTTACAAGGAAGAGGGCAATTGTAAAGTTAAAGCTCGACGTTGACAAAATTTCCAAAATGAAGGTTTAGGAATTAATTATCAAGAAAAATGTAGGAAAAAAAGAAAGAACATGTCAAAAATGTTTTTTTTAAGTTGATTATATTGAATTTATTCACAATTTAAACTTATAAGCAACAATTCCGCATATGCGATGTAAAATATTGGTAACTCCAAAAATATACAAACAATTTTATTGATATTATAAAAAATTTTACGAAATTCCTTTTCCTTTTTTCTTTTTTCTTGTTGAATATTTTTGGCTTTATAGTAAACAGCAAAGAAAATTTCAGGAGTCTTATATATCTCGTAGCTACATGGCCTTTTCTCAGAAGTTGCTTTTTCCCCTTTAAAAGCCCTTTGCCTAACGAGCATATGGTATGGGTTGGATTTTTGTTTTTGTCAATGACTGACAGCTCTCAGCTCCAATCAAAACACCTCCTTTTCTGACTCTATTTCAATCAGTACACGTGCTTAGCTGCCTTCGAAATTGAATTCTGTGAATTTTCTAACATGGAAAATTCAATTTAATTCGCACCTTTTACACAAATAATGTATGTTTTGAAACTACAAAATGAAGGTTTTCAGTGATGCTTCAATAGCAGCCTCAACATCCAATTCATGACAAAGACCTCCAAACCTGTTCTCATGTTGAATTCCTTTCCTTCATACAAAAAACGTAGAATCTGTTAAATTTTTTTCCCAAATCAAAGGATTATTGGGCCAATTTTATCTCTCTATGAGAGATTAATTATGTGCACATGGATCAAAATTTAGTATTCGGAGGAACCAATTTTTTTATTGAATGTAATTACAATTAAAATTTTCATTATAATCAAATAATTTCAAAAATCACATATTTCATACGTTTATAAAAAAATTATTAAATAAATAAATTAACATAAAATAAAACTAAATTCAAATACAATAAAACTTAAATTCGAAACTTTAAGATTTTAAAAACTCATTCTTTCTATTTTTCTTCTTCAAAATGACTGACTATTTTTCTACATATGATATTTCAATTATGTCTAATTATTCTTCTTTTGGTCCAGTGAAAAAGGTAAAAATTTTAACCAATGTTCTTAAAGGAAAGTGATTTGGTTTATTTAGTCGTCGATGTGCACGCCAAATTGGACCAAGTTTGTCCATATTCCACACAACAGAAAACCTACCCCACTAAATTAATTTTTTAAAGTCATTATTGACTAATTTGTCACTAAAAGTACAATGCATTGTTTTGATGTGCAACTTCCTCTTGACTGCCTCTGCCGAAAGGTAGATGCCAAAAGCCACCCCGGTCCCAAGGCCATCTTTTGCTCGGAAAAAATACATGCATGATTGTTACAAGAACCAATTTAACATAATTATTATTTGATCCTACCAAAATTTAAAAAAAAAAAAAATCATATCATTACATGTAAATTGTCTGATGTGTTTTTCTCTGTAGGTTGTGGTATAATTACCAGTTAAATCGGTTAGCAAACAGAATATTTTTAATGGAGTAAACAAGTAGAAAGTGGCAAATAGTAGTAATCCCACAGCAACTACTCCCAACACCCTTGGTTAAGTTAGAATTAGCAAACAAAAAAAAACTTCCAGGAGATATTCTCTGCCTTCTGTTGACTTCTTCATATCTTTCTTTCATTTTTTCACCCTTTGGCTTGATATTCCAAAAAGCATCTTTGATTTCGTTCATTTTTCTCCTTCTCAGAAATTGTTCAACTCCCTCTTTGAAATCAAAGCCAACTATGGGTAGCAACTTCTCAATCCCAGCTTCATGCGACGCTGTCATTACCCGTTGCGGTGATTATGTTACCGGACAAGCACAGTTTGTATGCAAGCTTGAAGAAAACGTAGAAGCTTTAAAAACTGCAATAGCAGAATTGACGGCTTTAAGGGATGATGTGATCAGAAGGGTAGAAATAGCTGAAGATCAGCAACAGCTGAAGCGACTACACCAAGTTCAATGCTGGCTTTCGAGGGCAGAAACTTTGATTACGGGAGCTGATTCGTTGACGCTGAAAAGTCCTCAGGAAATTAAGAAATTATGTATGGGAGGTTGTTGTTCTATGAGTCCCAAGTCCAACCTGAAGTTTGGGAAGCAAATTGCCAAAATCCGAGATGTTGTGGATCATAAGAGCAAGGGAGTTTTTGACAAGGTGGCTGAGGAGGAACCAACACCTCTAGTGACTGAACGACCAACTGAGCATACTGTTGGTTTGGAATCCACATTCGATAGGGCTTGGAGCATCCTTGAATCTGAACAAGTGCAAATTGTTGGCCTGTATGGCATGGGAGGGGTTGGCAAGACAACCCTCCTGAACAAAATTAACAACAAGTTTTGTGAACCCCCAAATCGATTTGATGTAGTTATTTGGATTGTAGTACCTAAAGGGCTTTATATTGGAAAGGTCCAAGATGACATTGCTAAAAGGGTGGGAATAGCTGATGGGAACAGGGCAGGACAAAACTCCAGAGGAAAAAGCTCGAAACATCTTCAGGGTTTTAAAGGAAAAGAAATTTGTTATATTGTTAGATGATATATGGGAGCGAGTTGATCTATCTAAGGTTGGGATACCTCTCCCAACTCGAGAAAATGGTTCCAAGCTAGTTTTCACAACTCGTTCCATCAAGGTGTGTGGCCAAATGGAAGCTCATAAGAAGATTGAAGTGCGGTGTTTGCCTGAAGAAAAAGCTTGGGAGTTATTTCAAGAGAAAGTTGGTGAAGAAACACTTGATAGTAATCCATGTATTCGTGAGTTGGCTCATGAATTGGCCAAAGAGTGTGGAGGACTACCTCTCGCACTTGTCACCATTGGTCGTGCCATGGCTTCGAAGAACAAAGTTGAAGAATGGAAATATGCAATTGAAGTGTGTCGTAGATCATCCACCACTGTTTTTCCAGACATGGGTGAAGAGGTATATCCACTTCTAAAATTCAGTTTTGATTCTCTTCCCAATGACATGTTTCGAACTTGCCTCTTGTACTGTAGTTTGTTCTCAGAGGACTACCAAATTGATAAAGATGAGCTTATAGATTTCTGGATAGGAGAGGGGTTTTTGGATGGACATGGGAATACAAGTCTATGCTCGAAACCAAGGCCACCACATCATTGGTTGTCTTCTTCAGGCATGTTTATTGGAAGAAATAGATGAACTTAGCATAAAGATGCATGATGTGATTCGTGACATGAGTTTGTGGATAGCACGTAAGTGTGAAGAAGAAAAGTGGAGGTTTTTTGTGGAGGCAGGTTATCAATTAACTAAGTTACCAGAAGTTCAGAATTGGGGAAGTATACGCAGGATGTCATTGATGAAGAACAGGATTGAAAATCTAGTAGAAGCACCTAACTGTCCTGATCTCCAAACTCTGTTTCTTAACGATAATCAGTTGAAGGTGATCAATAATGACTTCTTCCAATTTATGTGTGGCTTAAAAGTTCTAAACTTGTCATACAATAGAGATATAGAAGAATTGCCAGTGGGAATTTCGAAATTGGTGTCTCTGGAATGTCTCGATCTCTCCCATACAAGGATAAGACAGCTACCAATTGAATTGAAGGCTTTAGAAAAGCTTAAATGCTTGAACTTGGAATCCTGTGAGTCTACCATAAGAATTCCAAGACAGTTGATATCTACTTTTTCAAAGTTGCAAGTATTGAGAATGTTTCGCTGTGATTATTCTTTGGGCCAGGAAGTGGAAGATAATAGTGAATGTTTGGTGGAAGAATTGAAGTGCTTGAACCATTTGAATGTGTTGACTGTCCCTATAACAAGTGCTTTGGGTCTCGATAGACCTTTTGAGTACTGAAAGGTTATGCAGCTGCACTTTAAATATTCAGCTTAAATTGTTAAAGGACTCGAAGCGATTGAATATTTTATCTTTAGCGAATATGAAGAGTCTAGAATTTCTAGACCTTGGGAAGTCTGAAAGTTTGGAAGAAGTGGAGATGGAGTGGGGAGGGGTGGGCAGAATGATAAAAGCACAGAGCCACATTGAAACCTCTGTGGTTGCAAGCAAACATTGCTTCCAAAGCCTTCGCGAAGTATTTATATACGAATGTTCAAAATTGAAGGACATAACATGGCTAATTCTCGCTCCAAACCTGAGGTCTCTTACTGTGGGGTTCTGCAACAATATGGAAGAAATAATCAATGAGAGAAAACTGAGTCAAGTGGCTGAGCTAGTAGAAACTTTAAGCCTATTTGGAAAACTCGAGTCTCTTAATTTACAGTTTTTGCCAGAGTTGAAGAGCATTTACTGGGATACACTTCCCTTCTCATGTTTGAAAGAAATTTATGTTGAGGGATGCCCAAAGCTGAAAAGACTTCCACTCGACTCCAACAGTGCAAAGGAAAACAAAATCAGCATTAGAGGAGAGAAAGAATGGTGGAAAGAGCTTAAATGGGAGGATGAATGTGCTCTAAACGATTTTCTTCCCTACTTTACGTCTTTTGACTGAAAGTGCAAAGTAAACATATTACTTTTACCTTAAGTCTCTGTTATAATTCTTGTGTTTGAAGCTGTTGCGGTGTGTTCTAAAGTCGTGGATGATCTTCTCATTTGTATGATGTTCATTAAATTGACTAAGTTAATGGTGAATCTTTGGCTTATATGGATTTAAATATAGGCTGCATTTTAATGCTGAGTAAATAATTTTAGCTTCAACCTAAATATCTCAATTTGTTTTATTTTATTTATGGTCAGTTAACATGTTATGCTACCAACTTTTTCTTGATTTAAACACGTGCAATAACTATTTATATTCTTCTCGTCTTTCTTTAATTATAAACTATTATCTATGTATAAAAGTGTGAATTTTAATATTGTTAAAAGTGATTGACTTAAATACTTTTATAAATCTTTAAATTAACAAATTTATTTTTAAATATATAATTTTTATTAATTTATTTAAATTAATTTAAATCAACTAAAATTAAAAATAGATTTTTGTGAAATTAAACTGCTTAAAATTTATGAAATTTTATTCCAAAAGGATTAAAAATGATTCACTAAAATATTCTTAGTAAATTTTATAACTTTTAATTTAAATTAATTTTCTTTTTATTATTAAATTTTTATAATTACACTAAAAAAGTATTAAAAGTGATTGATTAAAATATCCTTATTAAAATTTTAATTCCTAAAATGTTAAAAATGATTGATTAAAGTACCATAATAAGTTTTTTATAAATTTTAATTTAAATGAAGTTTCTTTTCATTATTAGACTCCCAAATCATTAAAGCATATTTGTTTTATTTCTAATTTTTTTCCTTTCAGGTTTTTATTTTAATTGATTTGCTAGCTATATATGTATGTTAATAATTTTATTATTTGTATATTTTATGAGTTGATAATTTATATAATTAAATCTTTTTAGTCGCTTGAAATAATTCAAAAGAGAAATTAATTAAATCTTTTTTATTTCATTGTAATTTTTAAAATTATGTATTGTGATATTTTTATATAATCAAAATTTATGTATAATAAAATTTTTAAATAAAAGATATTTTATGTTTTTAATTGGTAGAATGTAGAATTACATTTAATTGATGGAAGCACCAATAAAAGATTTTCCAAAGCAAAAAAATGAGAGAAAAATTTGACTGATTATACATAGTTCTATCTTATTCATATCAATAAGGTTAGTGCTATATGATGTTTCAATGAAAAATATATAATTTTAATGATTTCAAATTTTTTTAGGATCAATATAAAATTCTTTTTTTAGGAAAAACATTGTATAGCTTTCATTTTTCTTTTCATTATATAAGTTAAAGAATGTTCATGATTATATAAAAATTTTTAAGGTTACTATGTTGGGTAATATTTATTCAAAAGTATTGAAATTCATCAAATTAATTATCACTATTACATTTAATATAAAAATATTATTATACATTATAATTTAAGTAAACTTAAATGTGATTTAAAAGCATTAATTAAGAAAATTCTTTCGATAAATTTTTATTTAATTGTGTATCTAGTATTTCAATTATTTTGAATTTTGACTACTCATAATTTCAAGTTGGGTTTTAATTTTAGAATCAATATCAATTAGGTTGAGTTAAGTTTTATTTGCTTCTATTCATTGTATACTTAATTATTCACTTATCACTTGAATAAATTTGACATAATAATTGATGCAAACTTTTCGTTCTTTAAAAAGCCGGATTTAAAATCATCTTAAATTCAAATAAAATAAAAAATGTTGGATTTTGATTGTATTGCTATGCCAATTCAAATTTTGGGTTCAGTGATTTCATATTTTAAATAACCACTAAGGTTTTGATTGTTTAAAATCAATTGAATCAAGTGAAATTTGTTTATTTTTATAATTATGTGTATTATATTATTTTTAATTATATTAAAATTCAAAAAGCGTAAAAATTTTATGTATACTCAATATGAGTCTTGAATTATTTCAAGTTTGAGTTAATTAATTCATATTACTTTTAATTATACTTTTATGACACTGGTATTAAATTTCAAAATAGAATGAAAAAAAAAATTTAAGTGCAAAAGTTATGGAAATATTAATGATAATTCTAGAAGAAAATTCATATACCCAAATTGTGCAAAGATTAAATGATATATCTTCTTTTAAGGATTTTGAAATTCTTATGCCCAAGTCTTGCTAATCAAGTTGCTGTGATATAAATTGAAGGAAACAACTTAGACATTTCATTTGAAATAGATATTATAGTTCAAACTTATTTAGGAAGATAACATACAATTAAATATTATTTGGGTCATAATGACCCCTTATAATCTTTATTCTTTTCAAATGAAAAAGTTAGTTGACATCAAAATATATAAAAAAAAATGCATTTTGAATGATAGTAATAAAAATGAAATAACAATTAGAAAATATACTATCTTTTCATTTAATAAAAGAAAATTTTTGGAAAGAGAATGTAAAAGTAATTATTATAAACTTAATATTTTTTAAAATATTGTTTATTTATTTTTATTAAATTTTATTTAGTAAATTTTTTCTCATTGCTTTTGCATAATTAAATTTTACCTAAAATTATAACTTAAAGATGGAAACATAAGGTAAAGTTATTATTTTCATTGTTGCATAATACTTCAATTTTTTCAATCTTTTATAAGAAATTGTACTTCACTAACAAGTATAAAAATATATAACAAATCATTCAATCAAATTATTAACAAAACTTATCTTAATATGTACTATTTTACAATGAATTAAAAAATTTAAAGAATATTTTAAAAATATTAACTTAATATATATTATACATTAATTTAACTTTGCTTTGATACTTACATTAGTATAAAAAGTTATGATTTTAACTTATTATTATATGCTAAACTACAAATAGCAAATTAAGAGCATTTACTTATTGTTTTTCAAGTCATCTACGTTTAAACATTTTCTTACTTCTTTCTCTATCTTATAAATTACATCATTTAGCATTCATTGCGGTTGCTTTCTTTTTGAATATATGCAAATTAATGACAACATAATAGTATATGATTGCTAATTTAGTAATTAATCAATGAAAGCTAAAAGTAATCAGTATAACTTAGTAGTAATTATTGATAACTTAATAATTAATCAATAATAACTTAATAGTAAATCATGCATAAATCAATATATGAATAATAATTTAATAGTCAATAATTGATAACTTAGTAATAAATCAATAATAATATAATAGTAAATGCATAATAATTTAGTAATAAATTAATTGTAATATAATTGTAAATGCATAACAAGAGAGTAGTAAATCAAGAATAATTTAATGAAAAATAAGTGACAACTTAATAGTTAATCATTGATAACTTAATAATAAATTAATAATAACTTAATAGTAAATTAGTGATAATTTAATAATAAATCAATTTTATTTTAATAGTAATTAATTAATAGTAGTGAATTATAAATAACTTTTTTATATTGTGAATAATAACTTAATATTAAATAATTGATAATTTATAGTTACTCATTACGTTAAAAGTAAATTAATATAATTTAATAGTAAATCATCAATAACTTAATTGTTAATCAATGATAAATTAATAGTAAATTTGGATAATGTAATATAAATTAATGATAACTTGGTAATGAATCATGGATAATTTAATACTAAATTAATAATAATTTTGTAGTATATAATCGAAAATTAAATTGTAAATCAATTATGACATAATAGTAAATATATAATAATATAATAATAAATCATTGATAATTTAGTAGTAAATCACCAATAACGTAGTAATAAATTATTAATAACTTAACTACAAATGAGTAACAATATAGCAGTAAATTAGTTAATCATTGATAATTTTATAATAAATCATTCATAAATTAATAATAAATAAGTTATAACTTTATAATAAATTATCAGTAACTTAGTGATAAATAATTCATAATTTAAGGATAAATCATTTATAAATATGTAATAAATTATTGATAATTTAGTAGTAAATTATTGGTAGCTTAGTAATAAATGATTAATAACATAATAGTAAATAAATAATAATTTAATTATTAATCATTGATAATTTTTTTTATTATTAGGGATTGAACCTGGTTCATGGCGGAAACGAATAAAAAACTTTCATCTTAGGGGCTAGAATAAACCTATCACAAATCTATTCAATAAAAAATTTAGTAAAAAAATTTTTAAATTTGAATAAAATAATAATATTATCGTATAAAAATAAAATTATCTTATATATTGTTAGTAACTTTTTAAATTCCATATTTCATAATTGTAAATATATAGTAGCATATTAATAAATCAAGGATATGTTAATAAAAAATAAATAGTAACTTAGTAGTTAATCATATATATCTTAAAAATAAATCAATGATAACTTAACAGTAAATCAATTTTGCTTTAATAGTAATTAATTGATAAAGGGTTAATGTTATAAATGACTCT